AACTCCTTTCTCCAGGCCTGCCTGCTTGGGGCAATTTTGGTGATTTACGCTATCCAACAAGGGGATACTGCATGGTTTAAAATCTGGGAGGATACACATCAAGGTTGTGTCCTTTCACGGTAGTTATTCAAACTATATGATGAGCAAATAATCCAAGAAACAACACTATATGAAGAACAACACAACATTAGGACTGGAGGAAGATTCATTAACAACCTATGATATGCAGAGGACACAACCTTACTTGCTGAAAGTGAAGATGACTTGAAGCACTTACTGATGAAGATTAAAGAATATAGTCTGCACTATGGCTTACACCTCAACATAAACGAAAATCCTCATAACTGGGCCAATAAGCAGCATCACAATAAATGGAGAAGTATTACTTGGATCCACAATCAACATCCTGAAAACAGCAGTCAAGAAATCAGACATGGTACTGTACTGGGCAAATCTGCTACAAACCAAACCCACTGCCGTCAGCAACCCCTCCACCCAACCTTCCTTCAACTAAGTGGCTGGTGAAGTAGATTACCCAACCTTCCTTCTGAGGAGTGGCTGGTGGTTCAAACCCACCAGCCTTCTGGTTAGTAGTCAAATGCTTTAGGCACTACACTACCAGAGCTCCTTTAAAGTGCAGAGCAAAGATGTCTCTTAGAAGACTAAGGTGTGCCTAAAAGTCTCCATGGCAGTGAATTTCGTTTGTTTTTTAAAACCCAAGTCGTGGTATTTTCAATAGCCTCATATGCATGTGAAAGCTGGACAATGAATAGGGTGGACAGAAGAAGAGTAGATGGTTTGAGTTGTAGCGTTGGCCAAGAATAGGCGAAGAACGCTGAAAGTACCATGGGCTGCCAGAAGAAAGAATAAACGTGTCCTGGAAGAAGGGCAAGGACCTCTGGTGGCTTAGTACCTAAGGCATTTGACTGCTAACCAGAGGTTGGTGGTTCAAACTCACCAGCTACTCTGCAGAAGGAAGACTGGGTAATCTACCTCCTCAGAAGATTTTACCACCTCAGAAACCCAAAGGGGGTCACTATGAGTCAGAATCAACTGGATGGCAGTGAGTTTGGTGTTTTGGTTGGAAGAAGTGCAGCCAGAATGCTCCTTGGAAGAAGGCTAGACTTAGTCTCACCTACTTTGGTCATGTTGTCAGAAGGGACCATTCCCTGGTATCATGGTGGTAAAGTGGAGGGTTGGTGAAAAATGGGAAGACACTCAACCAGCTGGATTGCCACAGTGGCTGCGAGGATGGGCTGGGGTATAGCAAGGATGGCACAGCACTGGACAGTGTTTCCTTCTGTGGTGCAAAGTCCCCTTGAGTGGGAGCGGACTTCTCAGCTCCTAACAACAGCCAGGCTGCCACCAACCAGGAAGGGCAGTGACGCCGCTGCGGCGGAAAGTGCGACCGTGTTAGGCGGTGCCCGCGGCAGGGCGGAGTGAGCTCAGCGCAGGAATTGTGTGAAAGGCGAGGGGTGGGACCCTGCGAGGCACGGCCCTTTGCTCTTAAAGTCGCAGAGACCCGGGGTCGCTCTCTGCGTCAGCCGGACTCTGCTTTGCGGAAAGGAGACTCCCTGCGCAGCTCTGGATCGAACCGCCGTCATGGCCCTGCTTCGAGGTGAGAGCCTGGGCGCAGCCGGAGCTGGTGAGCAGGGCACGAGGCTGGGCGCTGCAGCCTCCCCAGGGCTCAGGCTTCTGTCCCCAGAGTCGAGGGGCGTGGGGAGTCCGAGGTTCGGAGACCTTGGAGTTAGAGTTCAGTCTGAAGGGGACTTGGGAAACCCAAGAAAAGCATTGCAGGGGGTAATGAGAAAATACTTGGGAGGCACCAGCAACAACAGTATTTGGGCGAAACTTCCAGTTGAGAGTTAAGTCTACAGTTGCCTTGGCTCTGACCTTGGAGGTCATTCCAGTTCTCCAGGTAGTAGTGGCCCCTGTAGTAGTGTTTCATCGAAGAGCTCGACTATTAGAAAAAATGGGTCCATGTTGCAAGCATGAGGCGGCCTGGGGCTCCCAGCTGTATCCTGATGGACTTGGTCGCGGGTGGGCAGAGCATGTGGGGAGACGTTGATGTTCTCTAAGGGTGGTCAGGGAACTTCTGCCCAAGTGACTTGCGCCCTGAACATATCTGATAACTTTGTATTTCACCATCTGCTCTATTCTCTTTTCCCTTCTATTCCTTTCATTGGAGTCACTGCAGGAGAGTACAATTCACTACTGGTACCTAAGGTCTAACGTTATTAACTCAAAAGAAAAACCCCAAAAACTAGTAATTAACTCCATTTTCATAACAAAGAGTCATAGTCAATGGACTTCTGATTTAGAGGCTGTGAAAGCTTTCCGGGTTCCCTTTGTAGAACATGGAGATAGGTACAGGGTCGTGTGGTTATATGGAGGCCTTGAGGCAGGAAACAATGTGGAAAGATGGAAGAACCAAGTATTCAGTTGGCCCTGTAGGCTGTTAAGAAGGTAAAGTCTTAGTCTGAGTTGAGTGGGAGGCAATTGAGGGATCTAAGCCTGGGAATGACATGGTGTGATTTACACACTCCGTGCTTAGTGGGCTCCAGGGCTGACCTGGCAATGAGGGGACCATTTAAGAATATATTGCAGAGGGCCAGGCAACAGTGGATGATAGCTTTGATAGGGTGTGGACAATGGAGTTGGGGGCAGGGAGGGATATTTGAGAGAGACTTGTTAGGAACTGAGTGATAGATTGGATGTGGCCAGTAAATGAGAAGACAATGTCAAGAGTAAGTTAAGGTCTCTGATTGGAGGAAAACTGTGTGTGTCTCTGATGGTCCCGCTTGGAAGTGACAAAATCTGGGGCCAGAATGGACTTCTGCGCTGTCACTATGTTCACAAAGTTTATTTATTTACTTTTGTTTTGTTCTTGAGAATATGCACAACAAAACATACACCAGTTCAACATATTCACTAGTTCTAAGTGAAAGAACATTAGGAGCAGAGCACAGATCAGACACTCCCCATGGCATGATCACCATGTGTTGGGTACGTCATAACAGGGCAGAAGTGAGTGAAACAGCACCTGTCAGCCTAGGTTCCTTGAAGTTAGACTCCTGCCTCAGGGTTCCATCTCATCCCAGCATGCCCTGGTTCACAGCTAAGTTCTGCTCTCCCAAGGATTGCTTAATTGGACAGTCTTGTCTCTGTGCCAAATAACATATACAGTGAGCAGGTAGGGGAGGGGATTAATGAAAGGGGGTAATAAAAGTGGAAAACCCCCAGCAGGCCGTGTGGACTTCATTTATTGAATGAATAATATGTTCTGTTCAGGGTATAATAGTCTGTTCAGGGCAGACTAGATTTACTGGCACCAGAGAACAGCCCTTTCTCTGTTGCCCTCCTACGATAGAGTTGTGGGTTTGTTCAGAGGGCCGTCCTCTCCCCCAGAAGCACATGCTTTATTTTATGTCCCTTAGCAGCTGGGGAGATGGTAAGATGGTGAGGGATACAGCACACAGGTGCCCACAGCGGTATGGAAAGGAAGACCGAGAACTCGGACAGGCAAGTACTGATGCTTGTAAGGCACCCAGATGGCCATGGTAGGAAGCACTCAGAGGAATCTGGAACTCAGGTGGCATGGAAACAGCTCAAGTGAAAAATAGGTATTCTGGGAGAGAATGTAGCGTATCCCATTTCCTCCAGATGGGTTTAATGGGCCAGTGTCCTTCCCAACTCTTAATAAAGGAGCATGTTGATTTTTTTTTTTTTAAAGACAAGTCATCCAGAAAATATAGGTCATTCAAAAGCTGCACTGTGATGAGTTATCTTTTTAAGATGAAATAATATTTTTGCTGGTTTTAACATTTTATCAGTGATCATTACCCTTTTTCTTGTAAGACAGACTCCTTTGAAAGTGCCTAAGACATTTGACTGCTAAACAGAAGGCTGACGGTTCAAACCCACCAGCCACTCCTCGGAAGGCAGGTTGGGCAATCTACTTCCATAGTGATACTGCCTTAGAAGCCCAAGGCGGGGTTCTGTAGTGATACTGCCTCAGAAACCCAAGGAGGGGTCACTATGAGTCAGATCCGACTCGATGGCAGTGTGCTGTGTTGTGTTTGTTGTATAACCCTAGTAAGAAAAAAGAGTATCAACACCTGTGTTAAGAAAGTATGAGGTTTATAAATTCACAGTACAGTTTACTGCAGTGTTAGAATTAGTGATATTTTCTCCCATTTCCCTGTTTTATACAAATGAGGACACTGATATCCAGAATAGTAAAGTGACTTGTTTATAATGATACAGGGTGGTGGTGGCTATGACCAGAACTCAAGCCTTGGTCTTCAAATGGTCATTGTTATAGGTGGGTTAGAACACATTATAGGTACATGCTTCTCTCAGGTAGCATACCACGAACATGTTAGCGATTACTGTGGGGAAAAGGACACATTTCCATGGGAGCCTAATTAACTTTAGTCAAGACTGTCATAATTTACCAGATTTTTGTCATCGAGAAGAAACCAATCCACCAAACAGTCAATGATTACCAACAATTTAAAACAAAGATGAGAAAGTCAGGGGCCAGGGAAACTAGATTAATGGAAACAAGACAACTGGAATGGAAATACTGTGACTATTCACACATTATGAAGAATGTAACCAATATCACTGAACAACTTGAATGGGAGCCTAACTACTGTGTAAATCTTCATTGAAAACACAATAAAATTGTATTTTTATTAAAAAAGGATCATCCAGGTTTTATTAGCACTTATCTCAGTGCTTGGTGTGCAGTTTGCACTGCTGGAAATGTTCACATATTACCTCAAGACACTTAGATAGGACTGCCCAGTTACTTTCATCTGCAAACTGTAATGCATGCAGCAACAGCCTTGGTTGCTTTCTGTAGTTGCTCTAACTGAATGAGAATGTGAGAGGGAGCACCTAGTGGTTAAAGCTCAAATCCACCAGCCACCCTGTGGGAAAAAGATGTGGCAGTCTGCTTCCATAAAGCTTATAGCCTTGGAAACCCTTTGGGGCAGATCTGATCTGTCCTATAGGGTCACTATGAGTTGGAATTGACTGGATGACAATGGGAGAATAATGTGATAAAAAGGAAGGCAGAGCCTCTAACTCTTCCAGCTGCACTGTCACATCAGTACATCGCACCAGGCCCCCTCTTGATGCCCCTGCCTCACCACACTAGACGAATATATTTCTTCACTATCTTTAAATTTTTGGAACTCTCTAGCCTCTGAAAGTCTTTAAAATAAACACGATTTCATTTGGTGTTAACATCAACATAAAGTTGACATCAGATCCAATAAATACTGAATTATGCTCTTTAAGATCTTTCTTGGGGCCTTCCGGTAAGATGGAGGAATACGCAGACAAGAGACACAGGCCCTCTTCAACAAAGAAAAGAAAAACCAATTGACAGAGATGCAGAAGATAATCATGGAGCCCTGAGCTTTGAAAAGAGCTAAACAGAAGTGGATTAGGCACCACCTAGTGGAAACACGTGAAGGAAAACAGTGAGTACAGAGACGGATGGAGTTGTGGACTGTCAGCTGTTCTGACGGGACCAAGAGCCCAAATATTTCCAAGTGGTGTTGGGACCTGAGAATTAACCTAAAATTCAGCCCTGTTCACCAAGGGCTGCAGGGAGGACTGAACTGGTGGCCTATGACTTGGAAGGGAAACAGCAAGGAGGGAGATAACCTGAGCTTTTGACTTTCCACTGTCCAGAGGGCGCAGCCATTTGAATTGTTTACACACAGCAGCCATTTTGGATATTGAAAGTGACCGAGGGTGCAGCCATTTTGAATGTTTACAAGTGGCAACCATTTGGATTTTAAAGTGATAGCACTCTCATTCAGATTCTAGGGACCTAAGAATAGGCTCTGTTTGCAAACGTCGGCAGGGACATATGAGAGGCTGACAACAGGAAAGGAGACAGGTGGTTGAGTGTATAATTGCTGTCAACTAGTGAATAGAGGGGAGCACAGCACCCTGGTTGTGTAGATAGCATACAAACAAAACAAAGAAAACAAAAATCATGGGCAAGTCACTCAAACATACAATCACCAATTAAATATAAACACAAAAATGTCACAATGCGTTGGAGACAACAGAGCATCACAGTCCACACAAAGAAACAAGATAAAGCAAGAGAAACAAGGGACCAGGATACAGACCCAAAACACATCCCTGAGGAAGATGCAGCATTGCAACTCCCTGAGAAGGAATTCAAAAGAATTATATTTAGGTATCTTCAACAAATTGAGAGACAGATCAAGGAAAACACAGAGAAAACCCTAGAACAATTTTGAAAGACAATATAAGAACAAAACGACAAAATAAGTGAAAGATTAGAAATGATACAAAATCTACACATGGAATCCACAAGATTAATACTAAATTTTCAGAAATAGATAAGACATTGAATGGGCAAAGGAGCAGAATTGAATCAACGGAAGATAGAATTAGGGAGATTGAAGGCAAATACCTGAACACTTCATGGAAAGGGATAAATCAGAAAAAAGAGCAAAACAAAATGAAGAAAACCTATGGTTCATGTGGGATACCATCAGAAGGAATAACCTACATGTCATCAGAATAACAGAACAGGAAGAGACAATAAAACCACAGAGAAAA